CCCCCCCGGCCCCCCCGCCGCAGCCCCGGCTGTGCTCCCCGCTTCTCCTCCCGCACAGCCTGCCTTTCTTCCTAACCTTTTCCTCCGGCCGGCAAGGAGTTTTCAAACTTGAGATGAGTTTTTTGTTGTTTTTTTTTTTTTATTTTTCCTTCCACGAGCCTCGGATGATGTTAAGATTATGCAACGTTAACAGATGTGGGCTTTATAATTATAGCTGCCTGTCCTCGGGAGGAGCCTGCTTTAGCTTCATGCATGCTCAGCTCAGCATGGGATGCTCCCCGGGTGGCCGTAGCCCTGGCAAAACAGCCGCTGCATGGGCAGCTGGACCGGGAACAATCCCTTGGGAATTGCCAGCCTCCCGAGGAGGGACTGCTCTGGGGTGAAGAGCTGCTCTGGGCAGCCAAGCTCGGCTTTCCTTGGTTACAAACACAGGTTAAATTGGTGTTCCCTGATCAAGGGAGTATTTTTTTTCTGTCCTTTGAGGAGAAAAATCCCTTCTGCAGGAAAACGACGGGGCTGGGATAGCTCATGGTGTGCCTTGGCTGGCTGCGATGCTCATGCCAAATGCTGTCCATGGAAATCCTGCTTCCCTGCTGTTAGCAGGATACATCCCTCCTCACTCCCTGCCCTAAAATGTCCATGAGTGGGTCCAGATGCTGCTGAAAACTTACAGTATTGTGCTTTTCAGGGCTGTGCTGTCCCATGTTTGAGCCTTGAGCTTCACCATGACATTGCCTCGGCAGCAGCTGCCCCCTGGCCCATGCTGCACCCAGGGATGGAGGCAGAAAACTGCTGGTCTAAAGGGGATTTTTCACAAGGTAGACATCCCACCAGGCTGCCAGGGGCGATCCCAAAGCCTCGAGAAATCAGCTGGAACTTGATCTGTTTGTCCTGGCCGTGTTAAAACTCAGCTCCCAGCAAGCTGCAGACTTGTTATGCTTGCGGAGAAAAAGTAACTCCGAGCCTTGACCTGTCTGGTGAGCATCACTGCTAGTTTTAACTGTGAAGGAAAACACACCGGTCTGGTGGGTGGCAGGAGGGTTTTGCACTGGAAGTCAAATATTTCTTCTGATGGCTGTGGTCATGTGTGAGTTAAACCACAGAAAGCAGTTGGCAGCTTAGACTGTGATGAAGTTGTTAGTGATAAATTGATACCTGAGCTAAAGGGCCACTCTGCTTTAAGCCTTTAATGCATCAGGGGAGGCCAGAGGGTCCCACGTGTGTTTTTTTGGAAGAAGTTTGCATCTGGTCTATCTGCTCCAGCAGAGGGTCATCTTTGAAGGCTAATTTCTGCCAGCAAGTTAAAAGAGGAGATGTCATTGTCTCGCACCCCTGGCAGGCTTGATGGCTGTGTGATGAGCTGAGATTTCATGTCTGTTTTGTTGAGCAGCCTGATTTTTTTGTGTTTCCTTACTACTTGCTGTGGGTTGGATTTTCCAGCACAGCTCACGGTCTGCACCCACTGAACCAGGGAGCTGAGCCTGTGCTGGCACGAGGTTTTCCTCCCTTCACTGGGGCCTGGCATACCTTACAGGGCAGAGTTAAAAATGCCAGATGACTCTAAAAAGCCTCTGTAAATAATACCTTCTTATTCAGCCCATCCACTCCCTGTCTGTGCTCAAAGCCAGGTTTGCTGGCGCCCATGATAAGGGGAAGGGTTTTGCTTCATTTTATTCCCAGCAGCTCTGCAGAGCCAAAAGACGATAGAGAACTAACTCCAGAGTGGATTTGCAGGGCAAACAACAACCAGACAAGCAACCAGCAGCGTTTTACTTTCAGACTGGTTGCAGTCAGTCAAGGGTTGTAGACGAAGGTACTGCTTGCTGGCATTCCCAGGGTTATTTTTAAGAAATGGCAATTAAATGCCTGCTTCAGTGCCCTGCTAGATATTTTAGTGTGCCTGGACAGAGTGCTTGTTGACAAATGACTTGGCAACCTGAGAAAGCAAATTTCCCTCTGTCTATACTCATCCCCTAAGGGTTTCTTTAAGTGACTGCTGCTTTGCTTTTCCTCTGTGCGGCAAAGCTGGCTGCTGGGGCGCAGTAAGCATGGACTGCACAGCTGAAAGCTTTTAGTGAGAGAGGAACGGAGAGAAATGCAGTGCACCACCCTCCAGCACACCCACATTTTTCAGCTTCGGGGCTGCTATAAATGGACTCACAGGCTACAATTACAGCCTGGGTATTGGCTTGCAAATGAGCACAGTGGGCATCCCCTGAGACTTTGCATCCCCTCGTCCAAATGGGGACAACAAGCAGCTTGTTACATGGGACTCAATGGCAGCAGCTGCTTGGTGAGGTGGGCATCATAGCCACAGCTAGGGCTGTCATTAAAGGCACCCAAGGGATTCTACTTGGCTGCAGCTCTCGTCTTCTTGGGCCTCATGGTGCTCAGACTCCAGGGATGAAGTGTAGACTCTGCTACCTACATCTCTGTCTTTTCTTGGTGAGTTCCCACCGAAACTATTGCAGATGCAGAGAGGAGACTGCTCCTGAAATTGCCACCTCTGATGTGGCAAGTACAGCAACCTCAAAGGAGACACGCAAGGCAAGGAGTAGGTGTCCCATGGGTGTTTCTCTAAGGCACAGATTTCTTGCAGAAAGGGCTTGGAGGCCAAGGACAGATGTGCAAGGCTTAATCTTGAACATCAGAGCTTTTGGGAAGGGACTGAGCGGTGCATTTGGCTGCTGCCCGTGTATCATCCGCAGCCCTGTTTTGAGATGCCGTGTGTGTGCCCGGCAGGACACATCCCATATCCTGGTGGATCTCTGAGCTGCAAAGTGGGGAGAGTTTCTCCTCCCTTATGACTTTTCTCAGTTTCTTGAGAGGTTTCAGACCCTCTCAAGGGAAATTGCAGTTTCCCTAGGCAGGCACCCACTCTGCCTGCTCAACAACTGGAGCGTGCTATGGGCTATTCCAGCCCAGAGATTGCATTTTGCTTATAAGGACGATGGGCAAAACTGGGCTATGATTTTGCTGTTTCAGATGACACAGCCATGATTTGGAGTTGCTTTGACTTGCTGTGAATCTTTGAAGAGCATCTGAAGCTGCAGCGTGGCCAAACCTCAGGATTGTAACGTAGGGCAGGGACAATCACTGCTGGTTTTCAGGTGACCAACGTGCAGGGAAATCCTTGCACAGCCCTGGCTGGTACCATGGGCTGGAAACACCGATTTCCCTGGCAGATCTCACTAGAACCACTCATGGCAGCTGTCACTAGATGCTCTGCTCCAGGTGATATCAGGCTGGATGGCAGTCCCAAGGCTGAAGCTACAGCTACTGCACTGATCCTGCTGCTGCTACCAGTGGTCAGTGTTAATTATTAGAGCTGAGAAGTTGGCTACTGAGTAACGTCTTCAGTCCTTGCTCAGAGCCCAATTTGGGAACACTTTCACATTGTACTTTTGGAGATGCTGTAAAGCATGTAGTGCCTGTTGACCTCCCTGGGAGAAGTCATTTTTGGGTCCATGGGATACAGCAGGTGGTAAAAATACAGGAGAAACTTGTGGAAAGAGAGGATGAGATTGCTGCTGTTACACATCAGCACGGTGGGGAGAAAGCGAAGGGAGGGGAAGAGCTAGCTAAGCTAAAGGGTAATGCTGGCTTGGGAACCAACATTTATTCCATAAAAGTGTTTATTCATTTTCTGATGAAATGAGAAGATTATTATGGGTGGTGGGAGTGGTGGGAGTTTGGAGCAGCCTTCCAGCGGGAGCAAGAGAGCAGACCCAAACACTTTGAGTACAGAGCAGGGGCTCTGGCCATGTTAGCTCATAGAAAATAGACCTGTAGATGCATGAACAACTTCTCCATCTTGTTACTCGTTCTAGTAGACGTTAATGTCAGATACACCAAAATGTCCATCACCTTGGAGTGCTTGAGCACCTGGATGGCCAGTGTAATCCACACCATACCTTGGTTTCTGTCCTGGTGCCTCGTGGTGGCTGGATGGGTAATGCCAACCCTCCTGTTTGCCCTGCAGTTCTCAGACAGCTTCATCCTGTCTCGCTGGAGGCAATGGGATTCGAGGTCAGGTGTCCAGCAAGCACTGGATGAGTGGAGAGAGGGGAGAGTTGTGGGGTCCTCCATGCTCCTATCACACCCTCGGGATGGGGCACATAGGCTGTGCTGGGCTCCAGCAGGACATCAACTCTGGAGATGTACACACTCCTCCCATGAACTCCACACTGCACATATCTGTATCGGTTATTTGTTTAAGGCTTTTATTTTTCTCCTTTAAAGTTTTATTTCTCCTAACATACAAAAAAGCATAGAGGTGCTGAACTGAATTAATCTTGTGGACAAAGGTGGGTTTCTGCATTTAGGCCCCCCCCCCAAACTAATTTCCACTGGTGTGAATCCAAAAATAAATTTCATGTCTGTGTTTTGATTATACAAAATTTTCTCTAGTGTAAATGAGATCAGAGCTTGGCCTCGGTATTACTGCAGCGAGCTGAGCCTGCATGGCCAGTGCTGATGGGATATTAATTTTTTTTCTGGTTTTTCCTTTCAGACATTGAAAGCAGCCATCAGGTGAGAAGAAGTTCAGACGCAGAGATAAGGACCTCTGGTTCTCTTGTGGACAGTGTGGAGCTGGTGACCATGCTGGCTGGGAGCAGGGAGCAGGCATCACTACCTGCCAGGCATGGTGTGGTGCTGGCGGTGAACGGGGCCACGGGTCACATCAGTCCCCCCACTGGCAGTGAGGGTGTCACCCCACCGGGAGCAGGACACCCCAACAGCCTGTCTGCTGGGACAGCGACCCACCTGCTCACCCACAGCCATCTTCCTGGTGAGTTTTACCAACGTGAGAGTCCCCATTTGCTGTA